AGATAATAATAAGTGCTATAACCTCCATCAGCCAGCCGGGAAGAGAGAATCCCGTGCTGTGGATAGTGGAGCAGCACGTGGCCAACAGCCTTCTGTCCTTGTGACATCACATGACCTGCACATCAATCAGCTCCTACCTCCAGATCAATTCTTTGGCACATAGTGAGTGATCTTGTTCAAGCCAGTCAGTTTGTTTCCCTATTCCTTACAGATGAAAGCATCTAGTACACCCCACCTTCCCACCTCTCCTCTCCAGGTGACTCCTTCAGGATTGAGTGACTTCAGGATTGAGTCACAGTGTGAACTTCTTAGGGTTGTCTCAGTGTGGGTGAGGTGACCTGTACTTCTGCCCTCATAATACTTAAGAAGCTTTGTCATCGCTTGTCCAGTAGCCTGCTCCAGCTACAGGAACTATTTTTGCCCCTGGCCACCAGAATATCACCAGCATGTTTCCAGTCATGAAACAGATACTTGCTAAAGCGATCTGGTTTGCTGAATGGATGGACTGCAGGGCCCCGTTCTGGGATATGCCGGTATTAACCATACTCATACATTCAAATGGGCTCAGCCATCCTTGGTGCCTGGTTCATGCCTACAGTGGGTCATGACAATGGTAAGTACCATTGCCCTCTTTATCTAATCCTTAGGAATTCCAGGCTCCTGTTCTAAGGCACACCCTTATCTTTTGTCACAGCTACCCAGCTAGGCCTTCTAAGTTCCCAGGGAATCCACTGGCTTACCTCTAACTGTCCCCGAGACATTTATTTGGTCAGACTAGCATTCTTATCTGGTTTAACAGCTCTCTAACTTGTGTGGGCCTTCAATAATTTTCTTTCTGCAGGCCCCTCACCCACAAAGGGTCAAGGCATTTGCCATATGTATGACTTCTGAGATATTTAAAACATAGAAAGTAACAATTCATATGGCTACTCTATACTTTAAATCTAATGCATATGCAATACAGGCTCAATTCCAGGGGCTAGAATTTTTTTTAAAAAATCAAGACACACTAGCACACACACTAGCACACACACTAGCACACACACACACACACACACACACACACACACACGTCTGCATCTTTCAGTTACACAGAGAAATGAAAAGGTGGTAGGTATCATGAATGATGTGAAGAACTTCTCTCCACTTCTCCTGAGCTCTCTCTAGGTCGACTGTAATAGAGTTATCAGGATGGGATTATGGGAACAAATACCCCACTGGGCTCCACTTCTGAATTTGTTTTAGAGAGGAAAAGAAATCACATGTGAAAATATTTGTAAATCCTGCAAAGCATGGAGACTTAAATACTAAATACACCCATGGATTTCCTCTCTCATAGGAAAACCAAAGCTTTTCTTTCTGTTTTGTATTTGGTTCTATAAAAGAAACATGCACCAAGAGAAAAGAAGATACATTTACAGTTTTACGTTTTATCCCTGGATGAGGAAGGCATCTTAGATCCAAAAAAAGGTAGACAGAAGAAAAAAGACAAACAACAACACTAACAACAAAATAAAAAGGGAAAGAAACATACACTTTTGTGACTTGATCAAGTCTCAACTTTCTTTAGATTCTGGGTGATGGTTTCACTTTATGTCCATCAGGAGGAGCAAAGGTTTGTCTTCTTTGGGTACCTACATCCTATAACACTCAGAATTCTTTCCTGTTGCTCAAAATATGCCTTTGGGTGGATTTTAAGTCAACTGATTGATCGCTGTGATCATTGAAACAACGGTGGCAAAACTTTCAGACGTCCCTATGCTTAGGAAGAAGTTCTAAATGTCTCTTTCCATTTGTGTCCACTAGACTTCTCTCACCTTCTTTGGCCAAGGTCATGTCCTCAAGCCCTCTCTGAGTTTCAGGCATAAGAAGGGCCCTGTCTAAGTCCAGGAGAGGGAAGAAGCTTTCTTGGAATTGAAGAACTCTTCCTCTATTTGTGTCATCCAGCATGACAGCAGAGGCTCTGAAGACCCTCCCCCCCACCCACCTCACCAATTGGCAGCTGCAGGAGGCTGTCATGGGTGACTGATTATCTGGGTTCCCGAATTACTTACTGGTCAAGAAAACAATGCCATCAGCCAGGAGAGGCCAGGTATCTAAGGAGGTTTCGAATGACACATTTGGAAATGGATAGCCTATGGACACCCCTTTTTTACCCACAATAACTTTTCTACTCATAGCTTGTACTTTTGTTGAGTTGGTATGACTTTGAGAATAAGTCCTTTTTTTTCATTCTCAGTTTCTAAAGTCTTGCCACGTAACCAAAAGTGCCTATAGGGTATAAGGTCAGAACATGCATGCGCAGATTTGAAATCTGACTCCATAATTGATTCGTGTGTGATCTTAGAGATCTCAGCCTGTGTTAAACTGGGATGCTAACAGGACCTACACCCCACTGTTAGTGACTGTCCCCGCCACAATAATAGCAGTGGTATTGAGTACAGGCTCTTCCATAGAGTAAATATACAACAAATAAAGCTATTAGTATATCACTATTGCATTAGTGCTCTTTTCATAACCGTAAGTGATACAACAGGGTCCCCAATGTCCCAGTCAGTATATAGGTGATGCCACTCAATTAATTCCTTCTCACTTTTTAAAAAAAACACAAGAAAAATGATTAGAAGGTAAACAATTTCTGACCTGAAAAAATAATCCTATAATTTTTGAATGGTCACGGAGGCACACACCTGTAATGGCAGTTACTTGGGAGGCAGAGATAGGAGGTCATCTGAGCCCAGCCCCAATTAAAAAGCTAGCAAGAGTCCATCTTAAAATAAAAAGGCAAGTGTAGTGTAATCACAGCCGCTCAAGAGCAGAGGTAGGAAGATCACGGTCCAAGGCCAGCCCAAGGGAAAGCACCAGCCCCTCTAGGATAAACAAAGTAAAAGCAAAAGGGCTGGAGAAGTAGCCCAAGTGTAAATAAGAACCTGCATTTTAAAGCCTCACTTGATTTCCAGACACCAAGAAGGGTCTGAAGTCTGAGAAGATGGTTGTGTGGTTGGAACTAGAAGTTTCACGGAGAAGGCTTAGAACAGGACAATCGAGGCTGAGGAAAGGGGAAAAGGGACGAAGCTATGAACTTTGATTTCTCTCTAAACATGAAGGATGCTTACAGACACACCCTGAGTAGCTCATAAACTAGATTATGGAGACAATGGAACAGAGGTTGAGGCTAAAAAAAAATAATTGGTTGGTAACCAGTGATGGAGCGTTCTCAGTGCTATGCTGGCCCAGCTGACTTGGGGACAGAGGGACTCCATCATTATTTATTTGGATAGTATATAAGGAGACACACTGGAGATTGACCAGAGACTAAAGAACTGCCAGAAGTCAGGCCATGGAGGCAATAGTTATAAGGGCCCAATAAACCAAGAGGATCTAAATGACGGGCAGCATTAGGAGATCTTCATGAAGTAGAAAGGGGTATACATGAGCAGTACTAGCCATTGAACAGGGATGTTGGATGTTTGTAGCTTGTATAAGGTAGAAGGCTAAGAGGTCAAATGGAACAGGCTAAGAGGGAGATAGATGACTGACTGCGATTACAAGGAAATTAGAGGGAAATAATTGGGATTACCAGTTCTGTCTTAGTTTTAAGACATTTCCGGGCTGTCCATGTCGCGGGGCACAGAAAGATTATTTGGGCTGAGAGGAAAGATCCCAGGAGAGGCAGGTTCCAGAGGATCTCAAGGTAGATACAGCAATGCTTTAAATCAAACAGTGCAGTGAGAGGGAGAGAAGAAATCAGATCCTCTTAGACACAGTGAAGTATCTGTGGTGATTTCCTTAGGGACACTTAAGACACACTCACCTCTGCCCACAGGGTTACATTTCCTCTAGAATTTCCTTTCGTAAGATTGGCAAACGGCTTCAAAACCTACAGGGATTTCTGCACATGTTGAACGAGGCTAGGAATGGCTGAAATCCCCACTCAGTTCTGCTGGGAAGGGTATAGGGTCATATCTCACAAAAATAGCCACAGTAGCCACCTACAACTCCACAGTGCACTGAGGTCACGTTGCACCACAATGGCTGGCCCAGAACCTCAGTGTGGATAAACAGTACTTTCTCTTGTTGCATGGAATTCACACCCTAGGCCTAGCTCCTGAAAAAGTCTAAAAGGCCACAAATCTCTGTGTAAAGTGCTTTGTGGTTCGCATGATTTCTCGTCAAGGATCTCCTTTGTTTCTGAAAAATAACACAACATTGTCTGCACCATCTTTTTACAGATAAAGCAGCAGATGCTCACAGTCCATTTCCCCAAAGTCCTATAATCTCATGCTGTTTTCCCTGCTCTGGGCTCTTGTTCGGAGACTTTCTCTATCCGTGCAAACTCAGGTAGGGGATTTAGTCCTCCAAACCAAATGGAATGGTCCACATTAGGTGAAGTAGTATAGGCCCTTCAAAGAAAAATTGCATGCACTCATTTGTATGGGGCATCTAACAAGCAAAGGGGGTAGGGAAGAGGCTGGTGGGAGCTGGAGGGAGGGGAGACATTGGTCAAAGTCTCTAAGGTTTCAGTTAGACCAGAGGAATGTTTTGAAGATGATTGCATAGCACAGTGAATATACTTAATAATAGAGTATATTTCAAAGATGGCTAAGAGAGCAGATTTTTTTTCAAAAGGCTTGCACTACCAAACAAGATAGGCATGGGAGGTGATGGGAATGTTAAAGAGTTGGATTTTATCCTTCTCTGAGTTATGTGGATACTGGAACAGCACACTGTATCATATAAATGCATTTATTATTCATCTATAAGGAAAGAGAAAAAAATGCAATGGTCTCATCATCTCTCCTACTTCAAAGTAAATAATAAAGAGATTAATTTCTGTCCTGGCAGCCACCGCTGTTAACCACACTCTGTCCTCCAAGGGCATCTTGGATCGATTAGCACAGGCAACCACACAAGGTAAACTGCTAGTTGGAAACAGCAGTGCAAATAAAGGCTTCTCCTTTATTATCAAGCTATATTAAATAAGTCAAAAATTTGCTTACTCCGGATGTCAGGATCATACGTTGAAGCCTCCAGAGTTGACTGAAGAAAAAAACAGCAGGGTGATGGCCGCAAACCTCCTATGACAATGAGAATCTTCACACTAGTGCTGAGCTGGCTGTAGCCTGTATATTAAAAGAAAAGAAATATTGCCTTGAAGGTTACTTTTGAAGCATACTATGCCTTGAGACATTGTCTTTTTTTGTTGTTGTTGGATGTGGGGCTTGAACTCAGGACCAGTGTACTATCCCTGAGCTCTTTCGCTCAAGGCTAGTGCTCTACCACTTTCAGCCACAGGTCCACTTCTGGTTTTCTGGTGGTTAGAGATAAGAGTCTCATGGACTTTCCTGCCTGGGCTGGCTTTGAACCATGATCCTAAGATCTCAGCCTCCTGAGTAGCTAGGATTACAGGCGTGAGCCACCACACCTATCCTATATTATCATTTTACAAAAACTCTCTGTACTTTGTTCTAAAAGGAATGACTGTGTGTATGAAGTAATAGCTGCCTATATATTTAAAAATATAATATACACATATACATATGAGAAGAATTTTATAGGAAACCAGTTTTATGTAAACATACACCAAAGGTTCCATAAGAAGTCAGTTTTGTTGTAGGATAAAACAGAATTGAACATCCTTCAAGTACATATTATGATTCAAGAGTGAGTTTAAATTTTTTTTATTGTGAAAATACTGTACAGAGGGGTTACAATTACATGTGCAAGATAAAGAGTACATTTCTTATCAAGCATTGTTGCCTCCTCCTTTGTTTCCCCTTCCCATCCCTTCCCATCCTCCTCCCGCCCCCAATCCTTCCCCCTGCCCCCTCCCCCCCATCCCTGTACCAAAGTTGTAAAGTTGGTTTTCGACATAACGACTTATACATCTGGTTGTTGTAATGGGTCTACCTGTAACCCTATTTAAACGATTTGTTTTTTCCCTTCCCCTCCACAAATTATAACAACATCAAATACAGTGAAAGCAGGGGTTATACCATGGGGGAGGGACATACAAAGCAACAAAGAAATAATCTTATGAATGTGTTAGAAACAATCTTATGAAAGAAAAAAAATTTGAATACATATCTTAGGGTTCATTTCCCTAACATCAACTTATCTGACCTTTTCTGCTTGACTCAGACATATACTAGTTATTGCAAATAAGGGAAACCATGGGACCTATGTTTCTTTGGGCCTGGGTTACTTCACTTAATATAATTTTTTCCAAGCCTTTCCATTTCCTAACAAATGGGGCAATGTCATTCTTTCTGATGGAGGCATAGAATTCCATTGTGTATATATACCACATTTTCTTGATCCATTCATCTACTGAGGGGCATCTGGATTGGTTCCATATCTTAGCTATAGTAAATAATGTTGAAGAGCTTAAATTTTTTAAAATAGTAATATTCTTTCTTTACCCAAAGGTTCATAATATCATCATAAAATTTGTTTACAAGTGACTATCGAAGCATGCTGTAGGCAGGCTTTATCCCTTCTCTGGGGGAGGGTTCAGATCTAACCATAGACCAAAAGTCAGGAAGTGGAAAACCCTACTGGGAAAAACAGCCACAATTAAATTCTCCCTCCCAACCGTATTTCCCAAGAGTCCGTTGTGTCAGCCAGCACCAGGACAGGTATGCAGGGCCTACTTCCTTTTCCAGATCTCCACTTTTTCATTCTGTTTTCAGATAGGTAAATTAAACTTGCTTACTAGCTGAAATTTCAGACACCTAAGCAAGTGCACCGTCACTCTGTCTCCCAGGCTGCAGGCTGGAGCTCCTGAGTTCCCTCTGTCTAAAGCTTCACTGGACTTTCAGGATCAATGTCATGACAAGGTCAAGGTTGAGCTCAAGTACCCCAAATATGCCCATGACAAAGCAGCTGAAGAGCAGCTGGATACAGTTCAGTGAGGGAAAACAAACTCCCTAGTGAAGAAGACCATTAAAGAAGCTGGTTCATTGCTCTCCATGTTTCCATCATGGAGCCTGCTGCAGCTGAACAAAGATGCAGGGAAAACAGGGCTTGCCTCAAATGGTGAACAACTAAACCACCTCTAGCTAGGTCATGCTCCATCAACACCTAGTAGTCACCCAAAGGAAGGAAGGGAGGTGTTTGGAGAGTACCAGAAAACTTGGTGGCTTAGATCCTGGCTCTGCACCCTGGGTCATTCTTTAACCACATAGTAAATTATAAATCCTAAACTGTGAGATATATATATGTATTTTTAAATTTTTTTCTATTTTATTTATGTATGCATATACACATATGTGTAGATACATATATATAATATATATGTAAATACACCTACACACTCTAATATATACACAAATTAAACACCTCTGCACATATATACACACAGACATTCCTCAAGCAGAGAAAAAATCTTAGTAATAGCTCATTGCTCTTATTTTACTCATAAATTAGCTAGATCCCTGAAAGCACAGCCAATTCACTAAGTTGGCATTGTAAGATGTCGATATGGCTGCAAGTAGGTGGGCTTTCTATGAGATAATTCACTTTATTTAACATTTACACCCAACTTAAGTGTCAAAGTGATTGATAGTGAATGGTTGGCTAGAAATGGATTTAGAGCCTCACAGAGGTACCAGTTGTAACCTAGAATGAACTCAGGCTTTGGGCTGTCTGAATCACTTTTAATCTCCCACAACCCCTCGGGCTGCAATCTGTGGACAGGCAGTGTATTACCTGGGAAATAGCAGCATTTTCCTAGTTCAGCCATACAAAAATCAGTACTGTAATGTGAAGAACAACTCAAAGAATGCACCTCTCATTTGTTTCTTTGAAAGGCTGTTTTCAGGATCTTGCTCTACTAAACTCAGACCTCTCAATCTACCCTGATAATTCATCTCCATGTTTCAAAGACTATAAATAATATATGTCTCCATCTATTGCACTCTCTTACAAAATTGCTTAAAGGAAGAGGGCTAGAATCTTTTTAAACCTAGTTCCGCTCCTCATCTAGGGAATCAGAAAAACATTTTTTATAAAGATGTATTTGTGGTTTTCCGAGTGTCTTGCTTCAGCATAAATTCCTGAATGCAATGCTTGCAATGCAAATATTGACTAACCCAGCACTGACTGACCCAAGGCACTACATGCTCATCTCCCTAGAGTGATGGTAAAAAAATGAAATAAGTATATGACAGAAAAGACAAATGGATAGGAATTCCAAATCATTTTTGGTTTGAATTAGTTCTTATACTCTCCTTCAGGGTCACTGGCTATCAGATCTTAGATTTGTTCATTTGTTCCCTTAGGCAAGTATGATGGTCTGAATGCACCTGTCCACCCACCCTTCACACATTACAACATGGCTACTGTGACTGGAGGCATGGCCCAGGTGGTAGAGTGCCAGCCAAAGGGTGAATGCATCAGATACCAAGATCATGTCTGGGTCTCTGAAAATGAAAATAATAACATGCAGGAAAAAAACATGGTTATCCATTGTGGTACTGAGGTGGGACCTTAACAAGATGACTTTAGTCTGGAGAGGTCCACCTCATTAACAGAATCAGTTCCTTTATAAAATAAGTATGGAGAGCCCTTCCCTCCTCCACTGTCAGGTGAGGATGTAGCAGGAAAGAGAAACAGCCTTCAGTAGACACTCGAGGTGCCATGTCTCAGAACTGTGAAAAATTAGTTGTTTGTTTTTTCGTAAATTGCCTGCACTTAGGTATGTGTATATATATATATATATATATATATATATATATGTATATATGTGTGCGTGTGTGTGTATTTACAGCAGCAACAACAGAATGAAACAGCAGTATACTCTTTAACTAACTAAAGATAGCTCTCTGCATCAGCTTTTGTGTTAGTCACTGTGGAAACAGAAATTGTCCCAGGTTTGAAAGTATCCATAGACCAACAGGAGACAAAAACAAAAAAAAGACATCTAGCCATAAACCAGAGTGGCAAATGCACTCATCCCACAAAAGGAGCTTATATAAATGTATGCTCTTGGATAGAATTCCTGGGGAGAGGGAGAAAGACTCCAACGACCAGTTAACAAGAATGTTCTCATTTCCTTGATAATTACATTGCTCTGATGCATGAATAATACATTGTCATAATGATTTCTCAGCAGCATGTTGGGGGGCAGGGTTGGCGAGTTATTTCTCAAGACCCAATTGCCACAGGATGAAATCATGAGACCACAGGGCTCTCTTGGCCTTGATGAGAAAGTGCTCGAAGCCCTTGGTGATTGCAACAAGAGTAGGTATACACAGTGAGATGATGGGCCAGCCTCTAGTATCATGGCGCCAGCTGGTGAGGAATGGGAGAAGTTGTTTGGGGTCCCCAAGAATGTTTGACAGAAGCCTGCCATTAGAGAAACATGTGGGCCAAGGAAAAGAGTGGGTAAGTATTTATGGAGTTCCTACTCTATTGCTTTAGTGCTGCTTCGAGCACTGTTCATTGCTCCAGCACCATTCATTCTGCAAGATGCAAATCCGTAATTTGACTCTGGATACAATCCTGCCCAGTGTGTGGGGTTTGCACAAACAACTATGAGCCAATGAATCAGTCACTGTAAGAATCTTTATGCCCTTTAGAATAGCATTTCCCCAAGGAAACTACCAGAGATGCACACTGACATTACTGGTGTTCAGAGGTGAACCTTTTCAATGAACAGAAATCGAAAATGACTACGGAAACCAGCAGAGAAACCACAAATTAATTATAATGCGGTTACCTGAAGGAACATCACACACAAAAGAGCAGCCTTTGATGACTGGAAACGTTTCATGATATAATGCTAAATATCCAAAGCAGAACACAAAATTACAAAGCATAATAACTAATTTTAAAACACATGGAGACTACTAAAAGGTAATAAGTGCCCATCTCTGAATGATACATTTAATTTCCTTTTGTATTTCAGTCATTTTCAGATTTTCTACCTAAAAAGCCAGTAATTACAGGACTTGGGGCTTACTCCTTTTTTTTCCAAACAAAAGGAAACATGGCTCCAAATTCTCCCCAAAGATAGAAGGGGAATTAAGAAAACCTATTTGAGCAATGTCAATGCTAGTCCAATTGGTCCTTTTATTATGGCATAGTAATCTAAGGGTTTTAAGGGTTAGTTAAGCAATTATGTTTTCCTGGCTGTAAATTATACAGCAAAAGTAGCAACTGAAACTCAACAAACAGCTGTTTGGGGGGGAAAATGATGCGAGATGTCTTAATTCTCCCCACCTATTTCCTTCGGAAATCATAGCGTGTAGGATACAATTTTTTTTTCCAAATGGAATCAGTAAGTTCAGACATCTCATTCTTGTGAAAAACCTTTGGGAAAATGTCAAATATGCAATAGCTATAAAAATGAGGGCCTTCTGGTTAAAGTATATGAATTTTGAGAGGACGTGCATTTTCATTTAGTTGCTATAATAAAATATTATAGACCATGACTATGTGGCTTAAACAATGAAGTTCAAACTCAAGGTTCTGGAAAGGTTTGATTTCCAGTGAGGATGCTTTTCCTGCCTTGCAAATGGTCATTCATTCTCTCTCTTTCTCTCTCTGTCTGTCTCTCTGTTTCTCTGTGTCTCTCTCTATCTCTTTGTCTCTCTGTCTCTGTCTCCCTTCCTCCCTCCCTCCCCCTCTCCTTTCCCCTCTCAAACCAGTAACTTCTCAGAAGGTCCCTGCCCTCAATTCCTAATCGAGCCCTAATTACTTCCCAAAGCCCCTATTTATAACTATCATCATCACATTGGAAGTTATGGCTTCCGTCTATGAATCCAAGGAAGAATGAAATCATTTGCTATAGAACACCTGGTGTGGGTGATGAAAAGCGAGCCAGATTTGCAGGAAGAACGTTCCTTTCACTTGGATGGAGATGAAGGCAGCAATCTGTTCCTGCTCTTCTGCTAGCTACAAGGAAAGATTGTCCTCATTTTACAAAGAGAGTTATGTGCTGCAGCGAAGCTCAGAGGCCCACATCCAGCTGGGCCCTGTGGCCTTTTGCACTTGTCAAAAGAGTACCTAGAGCCTCATGAAGGGGTGGTGAGCAAGGGGAAGGAACAACCACAAAGTGAATTAATGAAGATCTATTGTCAGTCCCACAACTAATTCCTAAGTGTCCTTTCTCCTTGAATAAATCATGAATGATATCCATTTGTATTCTGGGTAGCATCAGAGTTCTTCTACCTCAGGAATTTGGAATAGGCTTCCTGAAGTTGATCTTTTTTTTTTGTCCGTCATAGGGCTTGAACTCTGGGCCTGAACACTGTCCCTCAGCTCAAGGCTAGTGCTCTACCACTTGAGCCACTGCGCTACTTCCAGTTTTCTGAGGGGTTCATTGGAGATAAAGCCAGCCGACTCGGGCTGGCTTTGAACGGAGATCCTCAGATCTCAGCCTCCAGAGTAGCTAGGATTATAGGCGTGAGCCACCAGTGCCCACCTTGAAGTTGATCATTTTAAATTCCTCATCTTTCCTCTTCCTGAAAGCAACTTGTAATTATAGCAAGTTAATACAGTTTTGCCTGTTTCCTTACCTAAAGAAACAATAACAAACCAGCGAAAGTCATTTCAACTATGACCCCATACATTTTATTTAGGAAGAAGAGCACTGCATATTACTCTTAGTTAGATGGCTTAAGCTCTCACCAGACCTAAATGTATGCAAGAATAGACTAAGGAAATATGAAGATACGTGTCCTCCTTGTAGGAGTTCTGGGGGGAAGGGTCATGATGCAAAGGCCAAGATACACACACAGGGTCTTACTTTACCCAGTCTCACGCATCAGAGTGCAGACATTTCCCAATCCTGAAAGCAAGACCTTAAAGGGTTGTTCATACAAGTTTCATTTTTACCTTTATCTTCCATTGAGAATTGTAGAACTTGTATCTTTTTGTTGATGACTTGTGTTTTCAATAGTCAATTCTGAAGAATACCATGAGGAACGGTAGGATGCTATTTGTTGCATCCAGTATTTGAACTACGGTACTTGGAAAGTGTCCTGTTGGAGCCTGCCTCTTGATGCAGCCCTAGATGCCTCTTGCTCTGTGACCGACTTGCAGCTGGAGTCCCCCAGATGTCTGCAGGCTCTGCCTCTTCTTCCCACCTCCCTGCATGTGCACCCCTGCGAGTGGAACTGTGTGCACTGCACTCTGACCACACAGGGTCAAATCCTGACACTTACCAGCTCTGCCACCCAGGACAGTTCCACTTAACCTTTCTCATGGTGTCTTCTGCTGCAGATGTTCATGAGCATGCGCATCACTGAGGGAGGACCGGAGATGATTTTGTATGCGAAACACTTCCCACAGGTCGTACTCAGAAAAAATGCTCTTCTGCATGACTCCTGCCCAGGAAGCCCTGACTTATAAATATCTGACTTACTGTTCCCTCGACATGTGAAGAAGAGAAAGCTACCACAAAGGCATTCCAGAGCCTGCTCCAAGGCCGGACATCCATCCACTGTTCTCCCTAAGCCTTTAGCCACCTCTAAGCCACGCACTGGGCAGATGTACAAGTCAGTCACATGACGCACACACTGTTTGCCACTCCTGGATGTGCCTTGAAGTCATACAATCGCAACACATGCAAATACAACCTAGGGCTTCTGGAGTCCACGCTTTGGTGATCTGCCTGAGAATGAGGCTCCTGGGGTAAACCTCAGGAGAGAAATAATGCAAATTAGAAAAGGGGATGGTGGACCCATCTTTGATGTGCGGTACCAGGGTGAACTACCACGTATGGTCCCAGTCCACAAAAAGAATGCAGAAAAAAAACAGTAAGTGCCTGTCTCCTGAACCCAAAGAGCATCCTACAAGGTGAGACACTTGGCTTTTTACAGTGGGAAACAATTTGCCAGAGTTGTTTTTAACAGACTCGCTTTTATTTATTTATTTTGGGGGATTAAAAAACAACAACAACAGAATTTGAAACTATAAAAATCTCGTGATTGGTTTGTTTCCCTAGCTTCTTCCTGCCTTTGCATAAACATGCCAATCAGTTCAGAATCCTCTCTTTAGAACCTTTTATCTGGTCCCAAAGATAAAGGTTATGAAGAAAGCCCCTCCTCCTTCCTCCCAACCATCATAGTCTGACTGAGCTCCAAGCCACAGCATCTGACTATGGGGAATCTTATCTGTTCTACTTGTTTTCTCTTTGTAGATCTAAAGCAGTTTAAGTTATAACAGCATTCCCTAGGCCTTCTACACAAATCATTCACATTTGCAACCAAACCCACAGACACTGCAGTGTGGTGACATAAAGACTTCAATTTTGCAAGAGGCACTAAATTTAATACCAGCCCTTTGGGGGCCCAAAGCCTTTGCTTATAGTCCTTTGCAGAGAGACTGATTTAATTAAGATGTTTTGTGTCTTCTACTTTAAAAAGAAGAATTTTAAACCTCTCTAATATTAAATAATTCTGTCTTTTAGAAATTGTTTTTTTTTTTTTTACCTGAAATAAAACAGACGGGCAGCTTTTCATTTACACAAAAAATTAAGAGCACGCGCACCTTAGCTGCCAGGCTTGGCTTTGTCTCAGGAAATTAGCAGAATGTAAATGAGCCAGCATCCGTGAAAAACCTCATTGATTGCTTCTCCCAGTTTTGCCTCAGACTCTTTAGGGCTCAGATATTCAACACTTTCAACCTCTGCATTATGTGCATGAAAATGACAGTGCTTTTTTTCTTTCTTTCTTTCAAAATCAGAATACCTAGAGAAGTTCACAAAGCATTTAATCAAGTCATGGGTCAGTATTCAGGAGGCTTTGCCTTGAAGAGGTGAAAGGCAGGAATGTGTTGTCAATGTCCAAAGTAAGGGTTGGTAACGGAGAATCTAGGGGACTAGGATAGGACTCTGAATTATGTAGTCCCAAACAATGGGTGTAATTAAAACTCCTATTCCTGTTGGGTGCTGGTAGGTCATGCCTGTAATCCTAGCTACTCAGGAGGCTAAGATCTGAGGATCTCGGTTTGAAGCCATCCCAAGGAGAAAAGTCCATGAGACTCATATCTCTAAAAAAAACTCAGAAACAGCCAGAAGTGGTACTGTGGCTCAAGTGGTAGAGTACTAGCCTTGAACAAAAGAAGCCTCATGATGGGCCAAAAAAAAAAAAAAGTCACACCAAAACAAAACCCTCCTTCTCCATCCTGGAGCTATCAAACAGGTACTGAATCTGAGAGGGAATAATTTCTGTGACTGGGGTTCCTAATAGCCATTCTTAGTTCCTGGGTCTAAATTCTAGATCTCCACGAGCCGGTGGAGATATTTGTCAGTATGTCTGATTTCTATGCCGTAGTTTTCTCAAATGTAATATGGGGAGAGGATGATAATGAAGATGATGGTGATGACAACTACCTCATAGTATCCTTGTAAAGATTAAGTGAATCAGTGTAAACACTTCGACCACAGTAAACCCTCAACAAATATTAGCTGTCACATTTTGACAATTCAAGATCACTGGTATGTATTTTGGTTTAGATCTCAAATGGTGCATCAAAATGGTGGTGGAAAACAGAAGATGGTATGTGTTAGAGGAAGTTACATCCTCAGAGAAGACCCTTGAAGGGGAAACCAGTCTTCTGTGCTTTCTCTCTCGCTTGCTTCCTGGCCACCATGAGAAGTGTTTTCCAATCTGATGCTCTGCCTCTCCACAGGCCCAAAGCTACAGGCCAAGCAGCTGTGGATCGAAACCTCCAAAACCAGGAGCAAAACTAAAACTTTCCTCCTTGTAACTTGTTTACCTCAAGCATTTTGTCGTAGAGATAGGAGGCTACCAAGGACCTCATTGTTTTCACTGTGCGTAGGTGCACATGCGTGTATGTGTTAACGTAAATCTTGTTTTCCAGAAACGTAATCATCTTATTAAGAGGATGAATTTTCAACCTCATGAAGTTTATAGTATGAAAACTTTTCTACATACATTTATAGACTTCCTACTCTCCCATCTTTAAGTCATTGTATGTCTAGGTCCAAGTCTATGTCTACTTCTGCTTGGAGTCTTCTCTGACATATGCGGATGTAAGGGGATGGATCAACATTTAACAATTCATTTTCCAAAGTTCTCTTCTATGACTCACTCACTCAATTGTGTGTGTGTGTGTGTGTGTGTGTGTGTGTGTGTGTGTGTGTGTGTTGGTACTAGGATTTGAACTCAGGGCCTCATACTCTCACTTAGCCTTTATTGCTCAAAACTGGTGCTTTACCATAGGAACCACAACTCCACACTTCTGACTTTTTATGGTTAATTGGAGTTAAGAGTTCCACAGACCTTTCTGCCTGGGTTGTCTTGGAACCATGATCCTAGATCTCAGCCTCTTGATTAACTAGGATTACTGGTATGAGCTACTGGCACTTATCACTCTAGCCTGCATTATGTTTTAATTTTGTTTACTAGGTTCACAGCTACCTAACAATTATGGCATATTTATTCATTTTTATAGTTTTTTAATTTAACCCAACAGTAGAGAGTATGTAAATATCATGAAGGCAGAAATGTCATGATTTATTCCCTGCTATATCTTATAGCACCAGCAAAAGTGTCTGACACAGTAGATAATAAATCTTTGTGGAATGAACGAGAGTATGGTCCTTGATCTCTTGAGATGTTCAAGCTCATGCCCTTGGCATTCATACCCAGGATAGTGCTCTGTGTGTGTGTGTGTGTGTTCCCTCAGCTTTCCTGAGCACCAAATGGACAGCACCATCACCTTTATCCTATTGTGCAGCTTGGCTGAAAAGATGACTGAGTGTGGTTGTCATTCACTGATGAATAGTTCAAGCATTCCCGGGCTGCAGTCACACTTTCAGTTGGTAAATTGTTCTGCGCTTACTCAAATTTTTCCTTAAAGCATATAATCAGCAGCTACTTCGCTCACATGTAACAGTGGGAACTGTCAGCCTAATTATCCCCTGTAACCAGTGGAACAAATTAACCCTGGAGATTCTGCTCCTTCCCACAGCATATTGCTCTACATAATCTTCTAAATATATGTAAACCTGAATAACATGGGGGTAACCCCAGGGCCACGGGTGGCAATTTCCTCCTCTCTCTGTCCCTACAGCATGGCATTATTGGTCATCAGTCCAAGTGGGATGCAGGGAGGTGGGTGCTGAGCTGGTACTGGCTGGGGCATCATTTGCAACATCTCTGGGGGTGTCCAACACACAAGGCCATAGATTTGTGTGGCTCCGTGGGCTGGCCTCAGTGCTCGATGGACATTCAGCTCTTTCCCAGGCAGAGTGCTACACTGTCTTCATCAGCTGTAGGGGAAGCAGGGGAAGAAAAGAGGGAGGCAGGGAAGAGGAATCTCTGGAGGTTTCTCCTTATGGCTTCAAGCTCTCTCTTGTAGCTTTCTACTGGTATATCTCCACTTCTACATTTATTATTTTTTATTCATTTGTTTTTGTCAGTCGTGGGGCCTGAACTCTGGGCCTGGACGCTGTCCCTCAGCTCTTCAGCTCAAGGCTAGCGCTTTACCACTTGAGCCACAGCGCCAATTCTGGCTGTTTCTGCTTATGTGGTACTGAAGAATTGAACCCAGGGCCTCATGCATGCAAGGCAAACACTCTACCACTGAGCCACCTTCCCAGCCCCTTCGCGTCTACATTTTGTATTTAGCTATTCATTCATTACTCATTCATTTATTCACTCACTCCTTCCTTCACTTAGTGTAGATGGTGGGAATGTCTTCCGCATACCAGGCATCAAGACAAAGGAAACAAGAACAGGAGATCAGTGAGTTAGACTTAGCCTGTGTCCTTAAGAGCTCAAAGTATCAAAAACAAGGGTTCTGGAGATGCTTCCCCTTTTTATAGAACCTATTTTCTACCAGGACTGAGTCTTTCAGTTTTGCCTCACATGATCTGAGCAGGTGATCAAGCAGGTGGTGGAAATAGAACAAATCACATCATTTTCTCCAAGAAGCTCAGTGCCCTAGGGGAGAAGAAAATGGCTATTAAAAAGCTCCTATGAAAGAAGGGAGAACACACATAACGTTGGCCAGAGGGAAAGCCAAAATGCTAAAGATCTCCACAAGAAGGAAAGATCATACTCAGAGCTAGAAGGAGAGAGGGATGGATCTGGGAATGCTTCCTAAAGGAGAGGTCAAGTCTTCTGCAGGTTGAAGAAGTTTTCTTAGGGTTGCAGAAAAGACGTTCAGCCCTGGGGACAAAGCATCGTAGAGAGAAAGCATAG